GAGGAGGGGGAGGAGAAGAAGGAGGAGGAGGACGAGGACGAGGAGGAGGAAGAGGTGGAGGAGGTGTGTATGAACGAACCCAACCCGTCGTTCCATAGCACACACTCGCTGGCCCCAAGGATGCGCGGCGGCCGCAGGCGCGAACAGCGCCGTGTCGCCGCACTGCTCGCGCGCGTCGCGGCGCGTCGCGCGCGATGTGGGCAGGCCCTCGTCCTGCCCCGTGGCCCCCGCGCTCGCCGCGGCGCTGCGGAGGTCCAGGGATTTGCATGCAGGACGTGGGGCGTGCACCCCGCTTTCGGGATTTGAGCGCGGGGTGCACGCGCGCGCGCGCGCCGGCCGTCGCGCCGCCCGTGCTGCTCCGCCTGCTGCGTGCTGTTGCGCCCTGCGCTGCTGCCTGCCGCGGCCTGCCTGCTTCGCACGCGCGCGCCAGCGGTCCGACGCGCGCCGCCGCTCGCCTGCTGCGCGCTGCCTTGCCCTGCGTTGCCGTCTGCCGCGTGCCTGCTCCGCGCCTGCGCAGGTTCCGATTCCCTCTCCCCCCCCCCGCGCGCGCCGCCGTCTTTGTTCGCAGGTCCCTCTCTTCTTCCCGCCCCTCCCGCAGTTGCCCAATTCTTCGTCGATTTGCTGGGCTCGCAGGTCAGGGTCGCTCCTTGCTCATTCGGAGCATGACACCCGAGAAAAGCCAAACCATGCTCTTTGTAGGGCTATAAGACTATAAGGCTAACTATGGGGCTATTGGGCTATTGGGCTATAAGGCTAAAGGGTTATAGGGCTATGCTATGAGGGATCTCGGGCTATTTGGCTATAGGGCGATTAGGGCTATGAGGCTATAGGGCTAGAGGGCTATAAGGCTATAGGGCTATAGGGCTACCGGGCACCCGGGCACCCGGGCACCCCCTGGCACCCATGGGCACTTCCGGGCACCCCCAGGCACCCGGGCCGGCCACCGAAATCGGCGACGCACCTGTCGACCGCGCGAGGTCTTTTCGACGTCTTCGCCGCATCCGAACGAGGATCGAGAGCGAACGACCGAACAGGCTCCGCTCCGACGCCCGCGCCGCCACCGAACGAGATCGCGAGCGAGCGACCGAACGAGGTGCGCTTAAACGTCAGCGCCACATCCGAATGGGGATCGCGAGCGAACGACCGAATGAGTTCCATTCCGACGTCCGTGCCGCATCCGACGAGGATCGCGAGCGAGCGACCGAGCGAGGCGCGTTGCAACGTCTGCGCCGCATCCGAGCGAGGATCGCGAGCGAGCGACCGAACGAAGTCCGCTACGACTTCAGTGCCGCATCCGAACGAGGATCGCGAGCGAACGAGATTACTACGCTTGCGCCGCATCCGAACGAGCATCGCGCGTGAACGACTGGACGAGTCCACATTCTGCACGCGCGCCGCATCCGAACGAGGATCGCGAGCGAGCGACCGAATGAGGTCCATAGAGCGCGTCTGCGCCGCATCCGAACGAGGATCGCGAGCAAGCGGCCGAACGAGGTCCGTTGTCAACGTTGCCACCGCATCCGAAGGAGAATCGCGAGCAAGCGACCGAACGAGGTCCGCTTCGACATCAGCGCCACGCCCGAACGAGGATCGCGAGCGAACGACCGAACGAGGTCTATTTCGACGTCGGCGCCGCATCCGCGCGAGGATCGCATGCGCGCGAACGAACGTGGCCAATGTCGACTTTGCTTCGCATCCGAACTGGGATCGCGAGCGAGCGACTGCGCGAGGTCATCGTGGGTTTCGGTGCCGCTTTCAACGCGGCTTGCGAGCGAGCGACCGAGCGAGGCCCCTTCGGCTTTCACCGTAGGAAGGGCACATCTCCCCCCTGGTGCGCGCCAGGTCTGGCTCGCGAGCGCGCGCGCGCGCTCTGCGCGCGTCGACGGCGCTTGGCCGCGAGATGGGGGAGTTGCAAGTCTTTCTGCCCGCCGTCGACGCTCGCGCGAAGCGCGACGAGGACTGCGTCCGCGACGTAGTCGCTGCGCTCCGGCGCCAGTTCAGCCGCGGCGAGCGGCGAGCGCATCGTCGGCCTGGGCGCCCTGCATCGCGCGCCCCGGGTCGAGCGAGACCTGGCGGGGCTTGACATTCACGCGAGCACTTTTCAAGGGGCGACCCCGACGGCGGGGAAGTCGCCATTCTTGACCGCGCGGCCGATCGGGCGACGGCGAATGCAGCTAAGACCGAGGCGGCGGCCATGTCCGCCGCCCTCGGCGCCAGCAAGGCGGCGCGGGGGTTCGCCAAACTTGCGGCCGCTCTCGCGAGCGCGTTCGCGCGCAAGCCAACCGCGCGCGTTGGCGTTGGCAAGTGCCTGGGCGCCCTTCGCCTCGCAGAGCTGCCGCCAGCGCTGGCCGTCGCCGGCGTCTTGCGATTGGCTCGACAGCCAGGCGCGCGCGCGGGAATTCTGCTCGGCGGCCCCGCGAGGCGCGCGCTGGCCCAGCGCGGGTCAAAGCGGCCCAAGCGAAAGGGGTCGCGAAACCCGTCGTCTACGCAGATATGAAGCAGTGGCTGCCCCACTGGGCGGTCGAGAAGCGCGGTGGACAGGGCGGGGCCGGCGCTTGCGCGGGCCCGGGCGACGCGGCCGACTCGCTAGGCATCTCGTTCATGGCGCGGGCGGTTGCGCGCGACGGTTGGGCCTTGGCCGCGTCCGCCACGGGCCAGATTAGCAAGGCGGCAGCAATTGCCGCGCAAAGACGTCGTCGTGCAGATCGCGCTTCATCTGGCCAGGCACGAGTGGTCCGATCGCGCCAGCGGCACCTGCTCCGTCAACGTGGATCGTGCAGAGTGGCAACAAGAACAGAGCCTGCGCGCGAGCCGCGCGCGAGCGCGCGGCTCGCGGCCCCCCTAACCTGCCCGCGCGAAAGCAGAGGGCAGAGGGGGGGCTCCAGCGTGGTACCCATGCAGACCACGCAGGAAAAGGGACGGCCAAGTCCCCCTCAGCCAGCGGCGAGAAAGGCCGGGGCAAGTCCTGGGAGCTTCGAGGCGCGGCCCAGGGCAGGGGCAATCGCTGTGCCGGGACGGGCGCGCCTCAGCCGCGCGCGCCGAAGCGGATGCGCGAGGATTGAGGCGCGTGGGCGACGGGGATCAGCATGGCCGCGCGCGCTCGCGGGTCGCGCGCTCAGGCTGGTCGGCCTCAGCGAAGCCGTCCGCCGAGTCTGCGTCGGCGGTTGGCGCCGCGGCCTCGCCCGCCCGCGCGGCGCAAGCCGAGCAGCTTCGAGCGCGCGCGAGACAGGCGCCGCGGACATCACCCACGCGCGCGTCTGCCTGCCCTGGCAGCGCCCGCGCGCGCGAGATTTGCAAGCAGCGGGCGCGCGGCCGCGTCGCGTCGCACTCGCGGTGCGCAGCGAACGCGCGGCTGCCCAGCATGGTGCCAGTAGTGGGCGCGGTTGAT